AAGCCACGTCATAAAGCCCTGCTTGTGAAGATTACTCGTCACCTGAACTGTACCTTCGTCCTCAGTACAACTCCTGCGTACAGAGAGCCTTCCGATTTCAATACATAACATGGGAGATCATGAAGGCGGATGCCAGTGGCAACAACAATGTCCGAATAGGAGGAAAACTACACGGTTTGAAGTCTGCTCACACAGTGCTATTTGGGTTTGACGTGGACTTGTATGGCTGAGCTCAATTGACGGCGTCTTCCTCGATTCGCGATAGGCTGTCAGCAACCGCGTTGTGTACTTACCTTGCATCAACCCAATTCTGTCCAATATCATCCTGATTCACTGCTAAAACAAAGGCAAGACTAGTGGCAACTAGAGAAGTTTTAGTGATCCAACTGCAAGTGCGATGTTCAGCCTCTCGCGGCTGCTAGTACCTGCACACTTATACACGGACCCCAAGACGATCTGGTCAATCACCCTAAAAACTGACGCACAAAAAAGGCCGCTCTGTAGATGCCGGGATGACTACCACACTTCGGACGCGGCCCTCTCGCGAGTGGCGGCGCATTAGTCCGGCAGTCAACTTCCTCAAATCGGTAGGATTGGGTAGTGAGGCCCCAAAAATATAGCCGAATTATAATGAAAAGCTACTTCCTACTATTTAATAGTCCGGCTTTTCATAGCATTACTAACTCCACCATCACGAACCCCTACTGAAACAATGATGAGGGCGTGTAAGTTCTGGGATGTCCGCTGACCTCGGGCGAGGTCACTGCGACGTATTTCATAATATTATTACTAACTCCGCCCCCACAAAGCCACTACTGGACTAAATACGAGCGCACATCTGTTAGGAGGTGTTCGTTGACCTTGGGCGGGGTCACTGAAGTACATTTTTTAATACCAACAAGAATCCGGCGAGCGCGTAGAACTTTCATTTACTACCACCAACGGGGTTGTTCGCGAGCCCCGGGCAAGGTCGCTGAGACAATGTTTAGCGGCGAAGCGTGCGATTCGAAGGCGAGCGAAAACCTGCGCGCGAACCAACTCCTGCATCTTAGTGAATCCGCGGTGGAAAAAAACAGAAAGTCGGTCTACTGCACGGTAGGAAGTAGCTTTTCATTATAAACCGTCGACATATTTGGGGCCTCACTAATCAATCCTACCCTCAAATCTATTCTCCACTACTTCTGTGCAGAATTTACTATTCCTCCAGTCTGGCGTCTCACTTTTTCTGGTCTCATACGGAACCGAGCCTGAAGATTGTAGTGGCGATGGTCTTAACCTTTTAACTTAAGCCGTTGCGATAAAGCTACCACGAATGACCTGATACATAACTCGCAGCAGACCAAGACAGATCACACCAGAAAGGCAGACACGTAGTCCATCCCCAACTGGTTTGAACCGACCGTCGAAATGGTCACCAATGCGGCCATTCGCTTGAGAACAGATGCATAGTGTGGAACACTCGCCTCGTGCAGTAGTGTAAGTCGATAACCATCTCAGCAGGGATTGAGTTTGAAACCCCACTGAGGTCATATAGCACAGGGACTCCTGTTAAACCGATGATAATACTGGATTTATAAATAGGGTAACTTAGCGAAGCAATGGATGAAGTTTGTGGTAAGCATTAGCACCACTCGTAATTCTCTCATATTTGTTTTATTACTCTAATAGGGTGCCAGAATGTACGCTCAGATTGAAATATGTGAGTTATGGGTAAGACGGTAGGCGGCAGGCCAACTTAACATTTTCGTTTTATCACAACCCTACGATAACCTGACTACGTAAATGAAATAAGTAGGCAGGGTACGTTGATGAAAACCATGGCCGGCGCACACTCATTCTCCCACCCACCTTGTTCTGATGGTAATAAAACGTCAGGATGACTGGAGGTAGTCGTGGCTGCAGTAGATTCCAACTGCTACATGAATAAACGCCGGCCCTAGTCAGAGAACACAGGCTCTTGGCTCAAATACCCTACTTGGGC